GAGAGAGAGAGAGAGAAGGACAAGCACATAGGAGACGCGCTGGCTGCTGTGCCGGATGCTGTCAAAGTGATAGACACGTGCACGCGACTGACGAGGGCTCATTAATCGCTAGCCGCATCACACGGCGATCGGTGCATCGACACGTTTGCATCTACGTGACCCACACGAAAGAAGGTACGCGCACGCGAGTGGAGTAACACGCGCGGAAGTACCGAAGCGGGTACATCGAAACACATCTCGCAGCGGCCCGATCTGATGAAAGTCCGGCAAGACTGATTGCGATCTGGCTGCCGCGAGGAAGCGGGAACGAGGGAGGGGAAAAAAGAGGGAGACACGGGAGATAAGGAGACGGAGAACGCGAAGGAGAGAGAAACGATCTGCGGTCTTGTGTTCGTTGGATCCTGTTAAAAAAACGCGCACGCGCCCCGCCGACCGCCCGTGGTAAACACGCTGTGTGCGTTGCGGCGATCAAATTAATCGGCATGACATCGTTACTTCTCCAAGTCGGAGAAGTCTTTCACTCTGCACTCCCGAACGCGTCTCGCGGTCCGAATGGGGAGATAAGTCTCAACCATGATCGTCCCCGGCGCGAAAAAATATAACGGTCGAGCGCGGAGACTTAAGAGGAAAGAGAGAGCGAGCGCGGATTTACGGTGTATATCGAGTTACCAGCGATGCGAATTGTGATTTGCGTAAATTCGCGTGACTTATTTTTATCGGATGGACTTCTCCAAGTGTTGATCGTGTGGCTAATTGGAAGGAAAAAATTATATAAACAGCTTTACGGAAGATGAGAAAGATTGCAATTTGCAAAAAGTATAATGCGAGCAAATTACTAAAGTTATTACAATATTAACATTTAAGAAGATAAATTCCGCTTATCCTCTTAAAAATAATTGCATCATACTCTAATTAATTCTAATTAATAAACTTAAATTACATCATACCGTGCTTATTCATCTTTTACATTTGCTACTCTTAATTCAGCGATCAATATAACGTTATATAAATTTTTCAAGACAAGATCGATGTCACCTATGTTCCAATATACGAAAATTTTACGCTATAATTTTTCGCTATAGTTTCAAGTGACTAGCGAAGAAAATGGAACGATTCGATAAAGCGCATAATCGATTGCGTATTCGAAATCGAATGAATTCCACATAACGTCGTCGTTGAAAAATGGAATATGTTATCGCGCTTCACGTGGAACATTTCGGTATCGCGAAAAGGAAACCGAGGTGAATTCCCGCAGAGATGCGATCTAGCAGTTTGCAAGACGCGCCACGGATGCGGCAGCGGGATGTATGTATGCGGGCGGTGCATAGAACGCGACGGGGCTCTCTGGTGCCGGTAACGCGCCGTGAACACAGGCGTGCACAGGCCGATTCCTTCTTCGCGGCACGGCTCGTTTAAAATGCAGATTAGACTCTATACCGGCATCCTTTCAGCGCAGAATTGCCGACCGCGTCGACGTGGCAACGGCACCGATCAACGCTCGAAAAACAGCATCTACAATTAAATACGTAGGCAGGCAGGCAGACAAAGAGAAATTTATTGCATTCTGATACGTTCCCGATAAGAAAGATAAATGTCTATAAAAATAAAAAAAAAAAAAACAAAATATATGTACACTTGTATTTGTGTATGTGTGTGATATCATGTGTAAACTAAAAATAATAAAAAAATTAGCATACGTTGAATGAATAAATTACAAATTATAAAAGAATAAATGAAAAATAAATTATGTCCTACAAAAAATTAAGTCCAGGAAAATTTTATAAATGCACTGCGCTTCTAACAATCGTTTATTATGCATCGAAAAAAGCTTTGTGCATGAGCATAAGTATTCATCTCTGTTTGAGTTATTTTATATGAAAAATAGCTGAATAGATGCAACAATGTTCACATTGTGGCACACGAGCACGAAATTTCTTTAGGTATATAACAGAGACCAATTGACTCATGTTTTCAAACATGACCGCAAATATACATATGATTTCTAACAATAAATCTTCATATTCGCAACATAAAAATTCTATTTGATGTCAAATGTTTTTCGTTTCAGCGTCACAATGTCACACGTAAAGAATTTACGATCAATGAGAGATTTAAACATTTTTAACTTAGAGCAGTATTATTTTTATAGACAAGATATTATTACAAATTGATAATTTCTAAATTTAAATATGTTTTGTGGCATTAATGAGGAGCGTTGTCCACGATGTTGCTGAGTTTGATGGCGAAAAAAGATATTGGCCGCGGTGAGATTCGAGGATCGTCAGTTTTTTTTATTTGACAACTTTTTTATAAAAATATTCATAATCTAAAACTTTCTAATTCTTTACAATTATCTTATCATCATTACTCATTACTAATATTATTGAACGTTAATATTAAAATATTTTTATACATATTGTTTTTTTGATTTCCACATGTAAAAAGTCCAAATCGCGACTAAAATATTATAAATAAATATGAATTATAAATTGCTATTTAATAAAGCAAACATTAGTCAAAACAAGGTATAAGATATTACACCGCGTCAATCCACGACAAGAAAAGAGATCCGCTCTCCCTATTTCTCACTTTCTTGACAGTAAATCTCTGTCAAGCGCATGCGGCATTTCTCGGCTACCAGTTAACAATACAAGATCCCGAGGAAAATGCGAAAACGAGCTTCGACGGAAAGAAGTCTGTCCATCTCATTCACGTCTTGTCTGTCAAGACATCTTGTCTAGAGAGCTCGAGGCTTGAATCACTAGAGGTCGATCTCTCACACAGTAATAGACGGTGTTAAAGAGGTCCCCAATGCAGATTCTCAATCTCTTTCGTTGTATCTCGCAACGAAGCTCTCTCTTCTTCTCTCCATATTTTTTTTAAGTCATTGTATATGAATACTATTACAGACATTACTAAGATTCTTAATGTAATATGACTGATTCTCGTCGTATTATATCAATCATTGCATTACGCAAATTGTGTAAGTTATATACATATGTATATATATATATATATATATATATATATATTATTTAAAATAAAATATTTAATATTGTAAAATATATTACATATTATATTTTACAAAGAGGATTTTAAGTACTTCAAAAGTTGCCTACATTCTCTCTTGTATATATAAATTTATCTTTATATTTATTGCACAATACTATTCGGCATATAATAAATAAAGTCTAAGTCTCCAAGTTGACTGTCCGTTTGATTATCTTTCTTTCGCGGCGAGTTCCGCAAGGGAATTACGGGATCAATGCGCATGTTACTGCGTAGGAGCCAAAGGTCCTCCGCGTCCTCTGGCTGCGATTGGCCTATGACCGGCGACAATAGAAAGCTGGATACACTCGTAAACTCAATGGCTTTTGAAAACATCACGGGAAGAATCATGGAAATAGCGGACCGGTTGAGGAAGCATCCACCGGCGAAAAGGTTTCTTGAACCTGGCTGTTTGACGGTCACTTTCCTCCAAGATCGTCCTTTCACATGTGTCACGTCGCAATCACCTGCGCGCCACGAGTCATCGCCTTTGCCATCAGCGAGGAACAAACTCCCGTAACTGTTATGAACATCACCCACCTGGATAGCAATACACCGAAGGTTGATATTACGGTATCGGTTGGATTGAACACCGATTGAACTGACCAACTGACGACAATTTACTGCGCGACAAATCAAAAAGAAAAATAAATAAAAAAAATTAATTTCTATGTCAAAGATTTTATATATATATATATAGGAAATGCATAATCTGCTGAAATAAAAAATCGCGACAAATATAAACTTGTAATTGCGATAAATACAAATTTATATATAATCTTTTTAATAAAAATAAGATAAAATAATATTCAATGTTTAATGAATAAACATAAGGAGTAATAACATTTTGCATATTTGACTTGAATAATATCATCAGGAAAGAAACGAAGTATGAATCTTCGTAAGTGAGGATAAATTAATAATTGACGGACTCGAAAGATACAAAATAATCATGACAGAACGCGCATCTACCATTTCTCGATGATAGGCAACTCTATCGAATTAGGGCGCGAGCAAAGATCGAGAGGCGGTACTTCGCGACGTTTATCTCCTCGCAGCTGCATTGTGACGTCGCATCTTAGCCGGGCGTATCGCTTGTCCGGGATACACGCTGTAAATTCTTTCCGGTTTCTATCGCAACCTGCCATTATCTGATGTGACATTTCATGAAAATGTGACGGCGGCCGTTTGTTATTACGCGGCTATCCGTGAACACCGCGTCGTGCCCGCAGGTAATTATCGGTCTCACGGTGTAATTATCGCAATTGTTATCCGATCTCGGGGCGAGGCCAAGAAGGTCAGAACTAGAGGAGACCTGCCCGAACGAGTAGTATAGTAGAGACTTGCAACGTAGATTCACCTCCTTGATTCTATTCATCGCATTGCTATCGAAAAAAAGTTAATTGTCGTCTAGTTAACGAGTGTAAAATATCAAACATTTAGGAAGTATAACAAAAGAATAAAACAAAAATTATTTAGTGAAATAACTTGTGATTATTAACTGTCTGAATTCTAAATAACACAAAAAAATTCATTAAAGATACTTTTAGTATTATATACTTGTAATTAGAATGTTTCTTAAAGTAGAAAATATTTTCCTTATCGCGCAATGATGAAAGCATTAACTACAAAATGATATATCTTGATACCGAGAAAACCCACCTCTTATAAAAATTGCACCTCGCCAATCAACTTGCAATGCTATAGCAAACGTTAATAAAGTACATCATCTAATTAGCTACCCGTCAATCATTTCCTTATCGACATGCTTTGTTGGCGTGGCGCGAGACGGTGTCGGCCTCCCCCTAGAAGAATACGCATCCTGTCTCTGATTGCCTAGGCTCTCGCATTCTCCGAGCGGCCTCAAGTTCACGTCATCATGGCGTTCACCTCTACCGAGTGTTCTTTCGCGACGTGTGCGCGAGAAGAGATTGCGGCGAAGTTACGAATTGAACAAGAGATTCTCGTGCTGGCGGTATACGCTTCGCGGATTTGCACGCGGATACCGCATCGTATATACCACAGGCATGGCGGTATACAAGACGGCGGATAATTCCTCTGCTATAATTCATCGCGAGAATAGGAAATGAACGGCTCTTCTCCCCGGCGTGGAGTAGCGTCTCTATTCATTTGCCGGTTCAATGAGTTAGCGTTGGGAGACCTCCCCAGAATCGCCGGAGGTGCGTCAGGTTGTCGTATCTTTCAAGTGCACACGCGCATCCCCGTTCCGCGCGCATAGTAATTATGATAATGTCGCGTGAGTCACGATTACAGGCACGCGGCGGCGAAATTAATAACGGAGATTCACGATCATATATCCGAGGACATGTCAATTGGAGACAATCGCGACGAGCAGGAAGCGACGTGGCGAACAGGTACTTGGATAACGCCGGGTATCCTAAGAACGAGCGAGGCGCACGCGAGTGAGTCCGTGATCAGACGCGAACGACCGAAGTTCATACTTTGCTTTGGAACAGCCCAGCATGCGGTCACTGTGCATACGCCGTCGCCCGAGGCATCGTGGTTACTTATTAAACAAATTCACACAGGTATATACCAACGAGTATGAATATATCGACGATGAACCGCTAACAGCGGTGTTGCATGCGCGATAGCGCAGGATTGTATTTCAAAGAGTCTTAAATTTCATAAATAATAGCTTTTCGTATTGTAATCTGCGGCAGAAAATTTCAACTTTGTTTATTCTAAAGGCTATAAATAAAGTCATAAATAAAGCTCTACTATTTATCTTGAGGAGGAAAAAAAAAATTACCTGCCTTAGGAAGCATCTTCTTAAGGTAATACAATATCTCCTGTAATATGTTTACCTAAAGCTCATACGTAAATCCTACCAGGTATTTTATTCTAAATTTCTGCTATCTTATTTTTATACATTTTATCAGATTACATTTTTATTTTTCTCGAACGACGACTCTGCGCTCGCTCTTCATCGCACGGTACGCACCGCGGCACGTCCACATTCGTTCGCCACGTACTCGCATCGTATAAACGTATCTTGACGGTGTGGTCCCCCCTCGCAAACGGGCACCTAATCGTAACCTCGAGGTACGATTCGAGGTAATCCCGATGCACGCGCCGGAAAGGCAGTACCAGTATCTTCCGCGGATCGCGGCGCAAACGAACGTTTATCGCGTGTCCGCGTGCGCCTTCGTGCATAATTCCGCGTACGAGAACCCCAATTATCCGGTACTTGCGCCTCGCTATGCTCGAGCGTCCTCGACAATGCATCGGTCTGAGAGACTTTCCGGCGCTTCTTCTCCCTTTCCCACTCGCCGAGGCTGCCAGACAAATACGCACGGTGCGCATTACTTTCGCCCGCGCGATGCATGCGCGCGATGCAACCCCCTCCGGGGGTCTGCGCGAGAGATCTCTTCTCTAAAGGCCACTTCTCTCAACTCGATGAAATCGAGTCAACACGTTTTAGCAAATCTTAATTCAAGGATTCGAATAAATGAAGTAAATGAAATAACCAAAAATAGTAAGTGATTTTCAAAAATTTTAAAAAATCAAGCCGATATCGATCATACAAATATTTAAAATTGATGTTTAAATAGTTATCATTTTTTAATAAATTCTCCCTTAACAGGCAAGGATAATACTTTCATCACATCAACCAACTTAAAGTATTCAATATTTTCAATCATGATCCAGTGTATAAGTGAAACTATTATTTCGTGGAAATTCATTAATTTAATTGAAAACTTCAGCTTTATTTTTAATAATTCTAAAATGGTTTATTTATTCAAAGTGAGAAGCGCTGTGTGAATTTCGATTTATCTCCAAGAACAATTTTCATCTTTTAACCAGAACTATCTGTTTAACCTATATAAAAAACTATACAACTATTAAAAATAACTCTTCGGAACTCTCAATAAGTTAATAAGTCTCCACGTAATAATACGCTAGCATCACACGCAGTCATCCATTGGTGCCATCCATCAGATTTCTCGACTCAAACACGCTTCATTAGGTCTCGATAGCGAATGGCAAACAGTCGATTTGTTTCCTCCGGTTCGAATCTATCGCCGTACGTTACGAAACTGCTTGCGAACGGTTTGATCCATCTCTGGCACATATCTCCCTAGTATACATCTCCAGTACGCAAACAACGTTCCCGACGGGGGATGATGTTGCGGAGCGCGCTATCTCTCTTTCCCGACCGCCGGTCACCCGCGGGCTACCTCTTCCAGGTGCATGCATGCATCTTGCCATGCCTCCCATACAGTCATTACGAACGCTTGCACCGGTTATTCGCACAGCGCATGAGCGCATACGTGCGTGCGTGCGTGCGTGCGTGCGTGCGTGCGCGCGAACGTATGAGTGCCTAGCTACCTCGCCTAACCGCCGATGCGTGACTGCGTCGGAGGAGAACAGTCTGCCAGGATTATTATGCAAGCTTTGTGGTGCTCTCAGACTGTCAATGCTCTGGTTCCGGGTCCGATTGTTCGTTCACTTCGGCGCGGCACGCTCCTTGATACCTGATGTTAATGGCGGATATTAACGGCGCGTTAACGCGCATCGCATTTCTGCTCGTTTGCTCACTTCTTATAGTATATAATATTTGTTACTTGGCACTATATAATTTTCGCATAATAAAGTTAGATTTCTATGCGTCTTATTCAATTGTCCAATAATCGATTGCCTAATCGATTGCCTTTATTAAAGGCATGATTTGCTCTCTGTTTTTGCTCCATCATATTACTCCATTGATTTACTATGGATCGTTATGAAAATATTGTCAATGTGCACTCTTAATCTTATATCGCATAGTTCCTCTAAATTCGAGGTTGTTTTTTTTTTAAATAAAAAAAAATACTTATTTAGACGCAATGCAAGATTAAGAGTGTGCGTGTCACGCGTGTTCACTTCTAATTCCTATTCGTCATGAACGCGATGCACTTGCGAGAACAAAAGGAAATCACTTGCCGCGAGTCCGTTGATGAAGAATCGGCTCGCATTATACTCATTCGCGATGCGTTTCTCCGTTTGCGTCGCGTGCAATTTGTCATTACGCGTGTCATTACGCGTGTCGTTCTGCTGCGGTCGAACCGCTGGGCAAAAACCGCGGCGTCCTTCGGGGTGGCGATCTCTCGTGCTCTCGTCAGCGCGCAATGAAAGAGGCTTCATTATTCATCGGTTCGGCCGACCATACGAGCTACGGGCAGTGTGTGTACTTAACGTTTACAGAGAGAAGCTCGACGGCCTCTCGGCGAGAGTTCCGCAAAGTATAATATAATATCATTCCGCTTACGCAAGCACACCTACGCAAGCGGCTCACGCGGGCGCGCGTTTCGTTACGTCGGCATTGCGATCGGATCGTTATGCTTTCTCTCCTTCTCTCGGAGGGTGATTGTCGAGAGCGCCCAAACAACAATTGAGTTTCGTTCGGAGTCATTTCAGCGATATCATCGAGAACTCGAACGATACTTCAAGATAAGGTAATCGAGATGCTATCGCACTAGACGTCGAGGGCTTCCGCTTGATGCTATTTTCAGATGTATCGATAATGGGCCTCCTCT